TTTTTGCCTTCAATATGTTTCTTTGTGAGCAGAGAGGAGGGAAAATTCAGTTGGGCAGTAAATTGTGGTTACTTCCTCTATCAGAATTTCTGTTACAGCTCCTTGGTTTTCAGTTATTAAACATTTAGATGAAGTAAGAGAAATTAATTTTAGTGTGAGAACCACTTGTTCCCAAAAGCTGTGAAGCTAAAAATATGCTAAAAAATACCAGGGATCTAATTGAGAAAAGATAATGACTAAATGTGAACATTGGGTCAGTACAGATTTCTTTTGAGAATTGTTTTCCTCAGGAACTCAGTACTTGAAGATGTAAATGAAGGATGTAAGTTGTGTTTTAATCCGATTTCTTGATGATTTCTGTCACAGTTCTTGTGACATGGAAATAAAATGCTTCTCACTCCTTTTCAAGTCTACAGAGTCTGTCTGTGAAGTTGAAGCTCTAATGGAGAAAATGAAGCAGCTACAGGAGTGTAGAGATGAAGAGGAAGCGAGCCAGGAAGAGATGGCTACACGTTTTGAAAGGGAGAAGAGAGAGAGCATGTTTGTCTGTTCTTCAGGTAGAAATGCTGTAGTGTGTGTGTGTGTACTTAGACTTTCCCAAATCACTTGAAGAAATACTTCCACAAAAGGGAGGGAAAAATGTTATTAGACGTGTCAAAACCACCACTGTTTCTTTGAAGGGATGAAGGTTGGGGTGCCTTGTTTTCTTTCAAGAATGCCTCAGAGCAAAGTAGTGCCAAGATCTGTGGCCTCTCTCAAAAACACCATAACACCCACTGGCCAATATTATGTTTAACAGAAATTTCCAACAGAAATAGAATCTTGAGAGAGAGAGAGAGAGAGAGATTGTAAGAGATTTAAACATATCACAAGACATTGTAAAAAGAAGCCCTTACAACAAGCAGCTATTAAGAGCATGTGAAAGGTTGCCTTCCAGACAACTGTGAGACAGTACTTCATCTCTTACAGGTTTAGGATTGTTCACTCTTTAACAGTTCCCTCTGAAATAAACTTGGTGTGGAAGTCTTAGAGATCTCTGTTTTGGAACAAGAGCTTAGTAAAACAGATTTTCCCTTGATATTTTCACAGGCCTCTTGAGCTAGGAGCAAAGCATCCCCTAGGCATAGGGGACAAGATGAAGAATGGCAGACAAAAGAAAGGGGAAAAGAGGTGTTTGTCTGTAAGAAAGAATCAGTGTTTTTCATGGAGTTGCCTCTGAAATCCAGAGCTGCAGTGACACTGAGCTGTAACAAAAGCTTTTAATACAGGTAGTCCAGGGAACCTATGAGTTTAGTTAAAAAGAACAGAGACCCCCATTCTTGTGCAAGAGTTCTGCTAGTACACGTCCAGTCTGTTCTTACTGAAATGGCATGAAATTCTGCTTGAATTTACAGAAGATGAAGAATCAGCACCTGCAAGAGATGTGTCTCGGCACTTTGAGGACACCAGCTATGGTTACAAAGACTTCTCCAGACACGGGATGCATGTGCCCACCTTTCGTGTTCAGGTAACAAGGCTGGGCGTTGCTCTCAGGAGGCTTAGGGGGCTATCAGTTTGCTGTGCCAGATGCCAAACCTGGACATTGCTAGGCTGTAATTTAGTGCCCCATGGATGCAAAGGCTCAAAGCAAGCAAATGAACACCCCCACAGATCACCTGCCCCAAGATAAATTGCAGTAAAGCACTAGGTGTGCACAAGTTAATTCCTGAAATGCTCCATTCTCCATTTTTACTTATTCTAAGGATTATTCCTGGGAAGACCACGGCTATTCCTTGGTTAATCGTCTTTACCCAGATGTGGGACAACTACTTGATGAGAAGTTTCACATTGCTTATAATCTGACTTACAACACCATGGCCATGCACAAAGATGTGGATACCTCAATGCTACGACGAGCTATTTGGAACTATATTCATTGTATGTTTGGAATAAGGTCAGTTTTACTGCTTTTGTTCTAAGCAAACACATCAGACTTGTTAGCACTGGCCTTCTGTTCTTTATCAGATTGAAGCAAAGTTATTTATAGCAAAGATGCAGGTATTTTTAAACATAATTTTGTCTATGGGAGAGGGTCAGAGGTACAAATTACACAGTAATTTATTTTGCCATAGGAACTTAAAACCACTGCAAGTGAAATAACTCAGTCTTGAAAATGAAAGTGTTTTTCTTTCTTTCTGAACAGATATGATGATTATGACTACGGTGAAATTAATCAGTTGTTGGACCGCAGCTTTAAAGTTTATATCAAGACTGTGGTTTGCACTCCTGAAAAGACCACAAAAAGAATGTATGATAGCTTCTGGAGGCAGTTTGAACACTCTGAGAAGGTACGGTTTGCATATGGGCCATAGGTCCACTTGCCACACTTAACAGCCACAGCCACCCAAATAGCATTGAGGCTTTTAGCTGGTGTTGATGGGATTCTGCTCACATCCAGTAAATTCTGTAGGAGCTATAGTACTTCCTAGGCCGAAATAATTTATTTCCTACTGCATGTTTGCTAGCGAACAGCTGACTCAGACTGCACAAGCTCTGAACTGTATGGGAGGATAAACACGTTAAGTGGCGCAGCATTCCCCTTGGCTGTTGGCTGGCAGCTCCTGCGCCCCAGAGAGGCTGCAAGGTGATGTGAGGCTCTCAGACCCAGAGCAGCCACCATCCTGGCCCAGGGTCTTTGCAGTCCAATGGTCGTTTTCAGGCTGAATGGCCCATAGCTGTTCCTTCGTGTTAAAGCCTGAAGTCTTGCTGCTGGGTTACAGTCTGAACTGCACCTCCCAGAAATATGTTGTGCTGTTAACTCTTGGACATCAGCTCCATCAAGTTCATAACCTCCAGCTCTTTGGAAGAAAAGCCCACTTAAAAATGAATGCTGATACAGTTCTGAGACATTAAGTGTGCCTTAATCAGTGCTCATATCATTGGAGGCTCTATTTCTTGCTAAACTTGTGAAAATAGTTTAGAGGTACCCAGTAATAATAGGGTACTATAACCACACTGATTTAAGGTTGTTCAAGTGAAATACTATACGTTTGCTTTGGTTAGACTGAAAGCTTTTCAAGCACACAAATCCGTATTTAAAGCCCCAAACTTTGCATCTCCAAAGCCATCAAAATCCAAAGATCATACAGGTACATGTCACTGAATGCCATCACCATCCATCCTCATGGAAGGCAGCACACGCAGCCATTCCATGCCACAACAAACTCACACCTGACCTGCTGTCAGTGAGAGAGTATTCTTCACCTTCTTCCCCACATGGTTTCTGATGTCATCCTCAAAGAAATACAGTAAAGACATGGAAGAGATGAGCTGGGGAACTTCAGTTCTTACCTCGAACAGCTACTGTCTCAATAAAGACAATTTTATGGCATGTTACCTTGTACTTCATCTCAGCTCACCACTCCATCCTGTTCAGGTGATAATTACCTGTGTGTTTCTCTCTGTCCCACAGGGGCAAACGACCTTATCACCTCCTCCTTTGTTAACAACCCCCTCTGCTCCACAGGTACCAACTACCCTTTTGCCTTTAATTGATTAACTTTTAAGCTAAATTTGAACAGTTATTTCCAAGCTGTGCACAGTCTGCTGCTGCAGAAGGGCTTGTGTGTTTGAAAGCTGCTCTGTTTTTTCCAGCTAAACCAGTTGGTCTGTTAAAGGGGACTGCCTCTTCCTGTGACCCTGCCCCGCTTAAGGGTCTCTGTGACCCCATACAGACATGTTTGCTCAGTCTGCTCCCTCAGCAAGCTTTACAGATAGAACTAATTATCTGGGTAGCCAAAACACAAAGTGCTGCCCCACTGCTGCTGCTAATAGGAAACCCACAGCCCCAAAGCCGTCCTTTCACTATGAGCACACGGCTAAAGTGCAGCTTGTTTTCTTTCCTAAAGGTCCATGTAAATTTGCTTCTGGTAGAAGCTCGGATGCAAGCCGAACTACTTTATGCTCTGAGAGCTATTACTCGCTATATGACCTGATATCTCCGGCTGCCTGTCGATGTTGGAATGTTCTGCAGCTGCAGTGTGGCGGAGGAAGATACAAAGCCTCAGGACCAATGGTAGCTCTAAGTTATGATGCCCATTGTGCCATAACTCCTTTAGTTTCAGCTATTTCCATGTTTGGAATATCACTGCTGCTGCTCAGCAGTGAACGCTTGGCAGTTGAAAAAACAGGGGTGTGTGGCAGTGCTGCCTGCTCCTGGTATTTTGGCTTTAGACAGCACAGGACTCCCTGTGAACTTGTGGCAATATAGCAAACGATAGATGCATAGATCTTGTGTTAAGGCAAATCCAATGGGAGTTGGAACGTGAACAAAGTGGGACTTGATGATATTTGCTTTCCCTATGAGAATAATTTTAGAAAAATCTTGATGCTGCTATTTGTGCTGGTGAAGTGAACAGCCCCGGGCTGTTCCAGTTAAGCTACAAGTGAAAGTGAGCACTGCTATTGTCTGAGCCTTGTTGTGTGTGGTTTCGAACAGCCTTGTTATTTAGATTTCTTCTTTAATCAGAACGAAACCTCTTCTATCCACACTGATCATCTGAAAGATAGCAGTCAGTTTTCTTAAATAGTTTAGCCTTAAAGTGCTAAGGGACAGCTGCCCAGCATAATGTGGTGAGCTCCAAAGTGCAATGGGCTTCCTCTGGGAAGCAGGGGACTCATGTCCTCAGAGCTCTCTCGAGATGGAACTGCGCAGTGTCGAGTGGCTCCTCATCCTGTTTGTCAAGGATGAACCAAGGAGGAGCTAGGACAGGTGTGGGAATGTGTTCTAGGCTGCCAAACAGTCCTAATGTATTACGTGCCCAATGCTGGTCTTACTGATTTTTGCAGTTGCTTAAATAACTAGGCTAAACCCATCTATTTTTAGCAAATCGGAACATGATTACAATGCTGACGTTTAATACACCGTGGGTTTGGAGAACACATGAATACTTTTGTATGAGTGTGAACTGCTTTTTAAATTTGTCAGTATTACTGGTATTTTTTAAATAAAGGTAACAACTTTTTCTCCTGGTGTTTCTGCGTGGTTGAACTTTGCACTTCCGTTCTTGCTGGTATACTGGGAAACGGTTCAGAGACCATTGTAAACTGTTGGTAACTGAGGAAACATACTGGAAACGGCAAAAGGAAATTTTTTGCAGTTGAGTCTAAAATGATGGGAGAAAGCACAGTTTAAAAAGAACATAGTTTCAGTGAAGATCTAAATCTATAGTATAGTGTTTTCATGCTTCCCATAGTCCTTCACCCTGTGTTGAGGAATACTCTGTCATACTGGGTTTTCTCTTTCCTCCCAGGTAATGGGCAGAGATTACATCCGTATATTTATATAGTCACCTATTTTCAATAACCAGCTCTAAATATTATTTTAAGAATTGAATTAAACTGATTTTAAAATCCTCTTGTAGTTAACTTAGCTCCGTCTCTGGCTGCTGATTTCCATAGCCTGGTGCCAGAAGGGCACCTGCCATTGGAAGGACAACCAGGCCTGCGCAGCTAGACTGAGGATTTTATGGCAAGAGGTAACAGGCAGCAGGAGGAGGGTTTGCCACCAGCAAGTGACAAAGCCATTTGGACACGCTCCTACTGCTGGCTGTGATGGGGGTTACCCTCTGAGTGTAGAAACCCCACCTGCTTACAGTAAGGAGCCTTATCCATAAGGCAGGAAAGAAACAGATTTTCCCAAATCCACCAGCAGAATGAAATCAAGATTCCTGTCCCTTGGCCTGATTCTCAGTTAGCTCAGACTGGTTGCTCTGAATACAGAACATTCTGAGAAGAGTTTTAAGTTTATAGTCCAAGAAGCTAAAATATCTAAAAAGATCGAGGGGAGAAAGATTAATAAACTGTCAAAAAATGTGACTAACAGGAAGCATCTGCTGTTTCCTCTTAACTAAAAATACAGGATTTTTAATGTTCCACAGCCAGAGCAAAACTTTCCTGTGTAAGGCCACAGCATAAAGCTAAGCTCTGCCTGCCTAAGGACACAGCATTTCTCCAGTCTGCAGGTGGAGTTTCTGAAGCACCTGATTCTCCAGTTGCTTTCTGGGAGTGGTGAAAGGTTGACAGGAAATTTCTGAGAAGCCTGAACTGGCTGTTTCTGTCCTGTGCTATCCAGACAAACACAGGTACCTGCAGACACACTCTGCCTTCTCAAGCAGCAAATACTGCAGCATGTGTGTGCCACTGGCTTCATAGGGTCATATTTTCAACCACAGCAGTAAACACAACCTGCAGCCAACCCTAACTACGCACTATGCTACTTTGGAGAAGAGGCCTGAAGATGGTTGGGCATTTTGCATGCTGAGGCGTTTGTGGTGCTAAGCAAAAGAGACCAAGCCAAAGCCGTTAAGTACAGTGGCAACCAAAGTCAGTGAGGTTAGTCTTTAAACAAGGAAGGGTTGAGTTGCCAGATGCTTCATGAGTGGTGATCACTGCAGAGAGCAGCAGCTGTGTGTGACAGCAGGGCAGGAGGGAGAAGCCACAGTGCTGCTTTGGCCACTGGTGTGGGCTGCCCTCCCCTGCAGGCTTTAAGCCCTCATGACTACCAAGCAGCTCTTACAGAGCCTCTGCACCACTCCCAAAACCAGGACCATGAAATCTGTCCTCCACCTGTTCCATCAACAGCAAAGAAGTCCCTGAGAAGCAGGAATCTAAACTATGAAGAAAGTTTCCCTGCCCTTCTACTACAGCTGTGCTTCCCAACCTCGCTTCATCTCCTCACCTGGAAGCAGAGGTCCAGGCAATGTCAAAGATACAGCAGTGCCACTGAGGTTGCTCCAAATCGCTGCCTCAAACCAATTCCTCCAGCCTCTCTGAGGGGATTGCCAGGGGAAGACTTGCTCTCCTGACACACACAGCACAACACAAGGCTGCTGGCCTTCAGGATCACAGCCACGAGCCCAGCAACCCCTGCTCAGTGATTTGTTCTTAGTGATCTGCGGTCAGAAAAGAGGCAAATGGGTCAGATATGTGAAGCTTTCTCTAGCCAGTCAGGCTGTTAATGCTTGAGGCCAGTGATGCACCTGCTGAGCAACACAATTACACAAGCAACAACACTCTGAAAGGATGAAAACTGTGAGCAATAAGACGGCATCTGTCAGAAGGAACGTGAAGGATGCAAAGTCTTTTCGTGCCCTGTGGATGGAAACATGAGCCCAGGGGAGATGGCTGGCCAAGACAGTCTAAGCAGTACAGGCATACGGGCCTGGGAACGTGGGAACAGCTGAAAGAACAACACACCAGAATACCTAAAATCCCCACTTACATCAGGGATAGGGGCGTTTTGCCTTAAGACTGAAGTCCCAATTCAGAAAAGCCTCTTTCCAACACAGCTGGACCTACATCCCACAGACACCAAGGCAGGAGCTAAGATACCCGAGCCACACAGTATCAGGTAGAGAAAGGGGGATTTTGCAAAAGAAAAGAAAAAAGGAAGCAGCTTCCCCCTGGCCATGGACAGCACTTGATCCGGACAATGAAGCTCAGGATTTAAGAGCAGAGTGCCCCAATAGCATTTGGGTTACTCTTGCGGGAGAATTCACAGAAAGTAAGAGTGTGTCAAAGCCTGTAGGCAAGCTGCAATTCCAAGCATGTAACACACTTTCACAGTGCACAGCACTTTTGGTACCACAGAGGCCCACTGGTACCACTCAGTGGTAATTTACCTTTTAAAAATGAAACGTTCAGCAAATAGTTTCATTTCATTTTCCCAGCCAAGAAACTATGCAATTAATAGACAGATCACACTGAACAGCTGCTTCATCAGCTTAAATACCTTGCAAAAAGTAATTACACATGCAAAAATTGGATGGAAGCTTCTCAACAGGTAGGATCCAGTATATAAATTCCAGGCTTTACTGACTTCTTAAAAATTCAATTGCCACACTGTCCAAAACACTTACCAATGGCAAAGTACAGGTATATTAGAAATGTAAAGCTGGTCAATCTATAACACCAAAAAAATAGGACTGATTAAAATGGAGTAATAGCCAGTCACAACTGGAAGGCTTGATGATTTTGAATTCTATCAAGAAGTTTTTCTGCCACAGGCTTGAACTCTCTTTCCCAATACAGTTTGTGGTAGTCCCTTACATCTCCGTTGAGGCTGTAATCCAGCGCTAGTTCTGCATCTGTAATCAAAGAAAGTATTATCAGCAGTTCTGAGTAAAAATATACCCAACTATGTACTTTATGGCCACAGCACATACAACTTTTGCAGCCCAGAAAGCCAACCGTATCCTGAGCTGCATCAAAAGGAGCGTGACCAGCAGGTCGAAGGAGGTGATCCTGCCCCTTTATTCTGCTCTCGTGAGACCTCACCTGGAGTATTGTGTGCAGTTCTGGTGTCCTCAACATAAGGAGGACATGGCACTGTTGGAACAAGTCCAAAGGAGGGCCACGAGGATGATCAGGGGACTGAAGCACCTCCCTTATGAAAACAGGCTGAGAAAGTTAGGGCTGTTCAGCCTGGAGAAGAGAAGGCTGCGTGGAGACCTCATAGCAGCCTTCCAGTATCTGAAGGGGTCTATAGGGATGCTGGGGATGGACTCTTCATTAGGGACTGTAGTGACAGGACAAGGAGTAATGGGTTAAAACTTAAACAGGGGAAGTTTAGACTGGATATAAGAAGGAAATTCTTTCCTGTCAGGGTGGTGAGGCACTGGAATGGGTTGCCCAGGGAGGTTGTGAATGCTCCATCCGTGGCAGTTTTCAAGGCCAGGTTGGACGAGGCCTTGGGTGACATGGTTTACAGCGAGGTGTCCCTGCCCATGGCAGGGGGGTTGGAACTTGATGATCTTAAGGTCCTTTCCAACCCTAACTATTCTATGATTCTAACTTAGCATTTGTGTACGTTGGTGGATTCAAGACAACTCTATGTGGAAGACAAACTAAGCATCACTATCTGAGGGACTTGATTTAACTGAAAATAAAGGATGTTAAGGTCAGTAGCATGCTAAAAAGGATACTGCAAGTTCTTCTTATTCTCACACCTCACAGGTGTAGCTAAACTGTATCCCCAAGATCAAGCATTTACTGTGGCTGTCAGCCTGGAAACTACTGGAGTTTTAACATCACCCACAGCAATTTTGCTAATGTAAGCAATCAGTTCATCTGACTACAACTATGTTTTTCTTGTCACAAATTGCTCTGCTAATCTGGTTCATTAAGACTTTCAAATTGTGTTTACTATTACACTGAGAAAACCACACTAGTTACTGTATCACTGATGCCCTCTCTTCCTCACAAACTTCGTAATTAAAGTGGTAGGATACTCTTAAGAGATAAGCCATGTTAGAAATGACAGGAGGCCATCACTCGTTATTCCACATCCATTTCACCTGGTACTGGATGAAACACAGACACAAACCCTTACTGAAAAGAAGAAACCAGTCTGCAACCCGGAGCTTGCTCCTGACTGATAATGCTGAACAAATGTTTTCATACAGTTTAGGAGAAGGCTATTTTTGACAGCCTTAAGGCCACAAATGTACCTAAAATGAAGATACAACCCTGCACCCAATGGGCAGTGTGACTTATCTTTGTCCTAGGCTGTGAATCTGTTCAATAAATAATGCTGTAAAGGGAGCTCACTGCACATTGAGAGCAGGTAAAAATACAACTCTGAAGATAAAATATGGGAACCTTCAGCTCCAAGTTTAAGTCAAACTTTGTGTAGAAGACAGATGCTCAAACAGCAATTATCCCCATTTAAGCAAATGCCAAGGTGCCTATGCAGAGCATATGGCCTGAGCTGCCACGGCTATGAAAGAAGAGATGATGTTACTTTAGCATGGAGATGGGCTCCATTTCACATTTACCAGTAACTGCAAACAATACATGACTTCTGTGCCACTACAGTGTTCCTAAATGAACAAAATTAAAGAGATGCTGATGGTGAGGTAGGTTCCAGAAGGGGTTCTGCATAAGGAGAAGATGCCATATAGAGGATTTCTGTGAAAAAGAGGAAGAAAAAGTATTTCAAGAAAGAAGACATGTCATACCTCTGCAGGAAGAAACCCTATAATCAGAGATAAAATCCAGCCTCAGATATCAGATCTATATTTGATCATAGGTCCTGTCCAACCCAAATTATCCTCTCGAGCAGAGCCACCATAGATCAGGTTGCTCTGGTCTACATACTGTTGAGTACTGAGTATCTCTGAGGATGAAGACTCCACAGCCTTTCCGGGCAGCAAGTAACAGTGCTTGGCCCCTCCCATGGTGGAAACTTCTTTTCCTAATATTCAATTGGAACTTTTCTTATTGCAACTTGTGCTCCAGTACCTCTTGTCCCATTTAATGGCACCACCCAACATACCTAAAATGAATCTCAGCAGCAGAGAAGTGAGAGGAAGAAGAGGAAGATAAAGGATTATGGGTTTTGTTTTCAGGGAGAATTGCTTTGCCTACTCCTGAAATGATTGTTCTAGCCAAAGTAACTATCTTCTAACATGGGGCAAAAGACATTACTCTCTTTTATGATACAGCTGTGTCCCCCAGAAGTTGATTGAATGCTTATGGAATCACTGAGGTCAGGAATTCTAGTCTACCAGAACAAGGGTCAGAAACAGTTCAAGCGCTGAAGTGTGGAACCAAACCGGTATGCCTATCTCCCAAAGTAGAATGAAGGTAAGACAGGATAGGCGAGGCCCAGTGTCCCACATCTAAGCTGTGCATCCTCAGAGAATTTAATTTTCCCACGACCCTCCTCCAAACTAGCAAACTTGGGTACTGGCCAAACAGCATATGAACTGGCTGCGAGCCCAGGAGCGAGACAAGCACACGGGGTCTGCACGCTATGAGGGAAGCACAAAGCCAGAGTACAGACTGCCTGCAAGGGCTACCCATCCCTATAACTGGCAAGACAGAGGCCAGGAAACCCTGGAAGCTGGTATCCTGCCATGTAAGAGTCCATGTGTACTGAGATTCCAAAATAACCCCCTTGAATTGATAGTGCAAGTAAAGGTGAACAGAAGAAAGGTCTGGAAAAAAAAAGAGAGGTAGAAAGGAGATTTCACTGAACAACCAAAGAGAATAATGTTCTCAAGACAGAGGCTCATCTCCACTGCTGCTCCTGGGGGACAGAGGCAAAGCAAAGCTGCTGCCAGGGGCCTGGGAACACCAGCCTGCAGCTGTGAAACTCAAAGGCAGCTGAAAGAAGGCAAATGATAGTGCCACTGGAAAGCAGTGCCACTGCATCCCAGCTGCTGGGAGCAGATAGGAAAAAAGAAAAACAAAGTGTGCTTTTTGTCCAGCCTTTCTTGGGCCCAACATCTTTTGAAGCTATTTCCACTCCCTTTTGGCTCCCTCATATCTTTTTTTCATCTTGTGCCAGGTAGGGGAAAGAAAAACAAAGGGGACAAGGCCAAGCACAGCAGGTGAAGTGAGGTGTCTGCTGTGCCATGCTCCACTTTTTCCGTTTCCTGAGGGTGTGCTGATGCTTAAGTACAGTCCACTGACTGTCAGCAGTTGCCTCCTGCTTCCTGAATGATAGAATCAGAGCAAAGACAGTTCAAGGCTGTTACTGGATACAATGGGAGGAGGAAGATGTAGGACAATATTAATCAGCTGCTATTACTAAAATTTGTTGGCTCTTAACACATAGAAGAACCAGATCCAATAAGATGCGCTTTTTCTACAGCTATTCTTCTGAGCAGTGTGAAGACAGACTTGCCTTCTCATTTAATTGTGACCTACTTTTAATTAATTGTCATTACAGTTGCCTTACAATTGCAACTGCAATTCTACGTGAACTTCCAGTTCACTAAAGCTGTACCAGTTAATGAGACTTCCAGTTACTACCCAGCCTAGATTCTGCAATCAAATTAACTGCTGGAATAAGCAGTGTTAAATGGAGAGACAAAAATAAGTAAGAACTTTCCTGGACAAAGACATATATTTCTTGCTGCATGCCAGAAAATTCAAGCATAACTGTGGCTGTAAAGTGTGGAGTTCTGTTTCAGAATGTTAGAAAGTGCACTAATGATCTTGAAACACAGGATTTTCAGATAAATAGATGGAATTACTGCTCACATTAAGATATGTTCCATCAAAGCAAGGAATGTAATGCAAGGAAAGATTACAACAAGAATAACAGTAATTCTGGCCTCACAAATCCACCCACTTTTCTGACTGTCTAGAACCAAACCAGACCACTGGGATTTCACTTTCTGTCTGGGTCTGACTAACACACAGCCTTCTCCACAGCAAGCATACATACATCTTGATTAAATTTCCAATTAAAATAAAATCAGAATTAGTTAAGGTTTGCTTCGATTTCATTTACATTTTAAAGATCTTGTTCTAAAAGGTAATTGCAACTGACCTACTCAAAATAAAATCATATCCAAAGCAGTGCTCATAAAGGAGGAAAATTGTGTATATAGTGACTATATAGAACTATTACATAGCAATTAAACTCTGTAAAATTTGAAGCAAACACAAATGTGCAGCTGAAAAGATCCAGGTGGATAAGCAAATCAGGGTCTTAACATTCACCTGTCGGCACCTTCCAGCCTGTGTCTGTGAAGAGGCACTGCCTCCCTTGCTTTAGGGAGCAGATGAGAAATTCTCAAGATGTTGTCCTTGCCCACAAGGAGATGATGATGGGAAAGGAGGGCGGCCAAGGGGCTGAGCAGCAAGCTCAGCCTGTTTTACCACTCAGCCCTTAGGCTGAGGGGAAAAGCCACATTCCCTGTGCGTGCTGTGTGGTAACCAGGTGCATCACAGCTGAGCCCCTGCTTCTGTCAATACCTGCAGTGCTTTGAGGCCAGAAGGGCCCACATCCAGTGAAAAGTATGTTTTGCACTGAAGGTCTATGGGATAGTTGGCTCAAGCAGGCAAAGAGGCAGCTGGTGACAAGCATTAGCAGCATGCTAACTAGACAAACTATAGTGGGGAGTGACAACAGCCAATTCCACCTTGGCAATCCGTAAGATCTGGGGGAATGTGCTGAATGGCAATGAACCAGTGTACTGCTGGATAGTCCACACCAGCCAACCACTTAAAGCTGCATGACAGACTTCCCACCCAAATGAATACTGCCTTGATTTTGCTCTATTTATTTCCTTTATTAGGAAAAGAGACCAAGATTATGAATCTCACCTAAGAGTGATGTGAGCAGCACCAGCAACGTCTCAGTATCTTCTCCAAAGCATGAGGCCAAACTTGTGATATTCTCACTGTAGTTCCACAGGGTTTTGCATATCAAACAAGCCAGCTGCCAATCTGATGGCCCAAAGTCTTGTAAACAGTCAACTAACCTGTCGGTATAAAAAAATCCCAGTGTTTTGCTCCAGGTAGTTTTCCTCTAAGCCCTTCAAAATCTGCTAGTCTAGAAATGTATGCAGACTCCATGAAAGTTTGCAGGAAAATTCTCTATTAATAAACTCAAGATGCTACTTTCTCCCCCAGTAACTTCTCCTTCCCATTTAGTCTAGCTCCCTAGGGATGTGAACGTGCCTTTTGTCTACACATATATGCATTTGCCTGCCTGCATCTGTCTATCCCCTAGAACGTTTTAACCCAACTGACCAATTCCAATCACACACATCACAAATGTAACAATTTCAAAGACACGAAAATTCTATCAGATTTCATGACTATCTGTAACTGTCCCAAATCCATGGCTACCAGTAGAGCAGAGACTGCAATGGGAGTCGAACCTCATCAGGCGCCAAGAATTCATCTGCAACAGATGATATGAATGCAGAAAAAGCTTTGGTCAGAATATCCAGTTTATTACACATCAGAGAATCTGACCAGAAGACAAATCCAAAGGAATTTACTACTTCCATGACTCACAGAACTACCTTTAACATTCAGTGAAGCCTGACTGTTCTGCGGATCTTGCCCTTTATTATATTTCCTCAACATGTGCTCCTCCCCTCCACTGGGAATGCCAGTTTTATTAAGGACCATTAGGTTCTTGACCTTTCTCCCACTCTCATTTCCTTGCAAGTACCAAATGCAGGCTAGATCATAAGCAGGACTCTGAAATTAAGCTGTAAGTTTTCTGCCTGCACCAGCTATCCAGAATTCCCATTACCAAACAGCAGTGTTCACAAGTCCCACGGCAGCAGAAGTAAGTAAATGTTTTCACTTGCTGTCCCTAGTGACCTCTCATAATAGTAACCCTTCACTGCTGCTCTCTTCCCCAGCCCTATGACCTTCTCTTTCTACTTCACTGTGAGATTTATAATCTGGTGATTAGTAAAGGGAACACGGGATAACTATTACGTTCGGGTATGGCTGAAAATAGCAGTAATTGAAAAGCAACCAAAAGAGGTTTGCTCTTTCTCTCCTCTCTGAAGGCAGTCACTGTGGAAGACCGGGAGGCATACAATGAAAAGCCAAATGGATTTGCCCTCTTTTTCTTTTTTAAGTTTAACTCTCTGATGAGACTAATTCCATGTTTTATTAGGGCCACCATATATTAATACCATAACCTCATTTTCAAAAATCCACAGAGCCAGTTGGGCATAGTCAGGGTGACCTCCTTAACAAACGCTTCCAAATTCTCTAGATTTATTTCATGATGTTACTTTTTCCCCCTTCCTTCTTCACGAATCTTCAGAGAGAGTACAGACAGTTCTATATTCTACAGAATATAAATTTCTCACACTTATTATTCAATTTGCCTCTAACATTTTTATTCTTCTCTTTCAGCTTTATATTTGGTCTGGTAACTAGAACATGGGAAGGGAGGATGAGCATACTATGCATAGTTTATATTGTAATAAAAAGTAATTATATGATGTATGAACAAGAAAGCATTTGAAAGTTAGGTGTACGGTTGCGTAAACGTAAGCTGTATCAACTGCTTTACAAGCACAGCAACACGGTCTTTCACGTTGCTCCAATTAAGCTGGATCCGCTATTATCTGAGCATCAAGGCCACAAGTGTTGCATCCACAGTGGGTTTTCAAGACCTAATACCTCTTACAATACAAGTGCCTTAACCTTGAACTATTCTGCTGCGCATGGCTACATCAGGTAGTTTTCCCTACAATACTAAGTAGTTACAAAAATGGCAAGAGACCATATGGTATATCCTAGTTCCTGAAGTAATCTTCACGCTTACAACAGATGATACACATTAATGGTGCCTATTAACTGTAGCCCACATAGGGTCCAGTTAAGTCAAGCATGAGCCATGCCTTAGTTGCTTTGTTGTATGGTACTCTCCTCTGCTGAATCAACCAGGAGGCTTATTGGGACATTATGCTATGGGGTTTGGCTCTGCAGTAGGCTAAATGATTCTAATTCTTTTGCAAAAAAACATAGGAAAAAAGATGAAAGGCTCTTGAAGAGTATTAGATGCTTACGATCTATTTAGTATATATCCTTATTAGAAGTTATTTCCCACAGTAAAAAAAAAAGAATCTGATTGAAACTCTTCGGCCAAACTACTCAAAATTGCCTTTTTCATAAACATAATCAGGAACTTACTTTCCAATTCCTCCTTCCTCCATCAGAAATGCTCGTTTGTTCTTATCTATTGTGAGATTGAGCAGAACTCCACAGGCAGAAAAACAGACATCTTGCTTTTTGGCATCAAGCAAAGCAATCACGAACTTGTGTACTGTATTGTAAAGGAGGAGACAGTATTACTGGAAAGATGGACTTGCGTTACAAGTGGCATTACAACATCCTTATTAAACTTGTATACTCAGAAAGCAGTCAAATGCAGGGTGCCGTACCCAAAAATTTAACCTTGTAGCATACTACTGTGACATTTGTAGAGTAGGCACACAACCCATTGTAACAACCATCATGCTGAACACCAGTTTTCTTCAGTACAACACATACAGAGTCATAGTTACAAAAACACACTGACACAATGTGAAAACCCCATCAGAAGAGGTTAAATTGACAAAACTAATTACAGCTTATTTCTCAGAAGTATGACCCTCCTCTCAATTGCAGTCAGCAGAAACTGCTGGGATTCGGCATTTGGTACTCCCAGAGGGACATTCTCACCTCTGTGAGTGGCCAGGTTGCCCTACACTGCACCAAGGCCAGCTAGAAGTGCTGCAGCCTGGAGCTCCTGCAGGAGACAGGCAAGAATCAGACACTGGACATGCAACATCTTGCAGCACTTGCTGACACTGAACTCAGGAGGCAGTGGAAGGCAACCCCAGTGAGGGAGTCAGTCTTGCCTAATGGAGAGGCAGCCTCTCAGCTGTACCTCAGCTTGGCACGTTGATACCACAGTCCTAGTTGGAAAACTTAGTTCTTTGCCTGAGACAGCTCATCAGCAACCAGCTATTGTCAATTTGCCCTTTGCAAATACCTTCTCCTCCAAAGTCAGTAACACGTCCACCCTTCAAAGAAGGAGTTGTGTATTGTTGCGTATCACCTCAATTTCAGCACTGACAGGTACGTAGATACAAAAAAATTTACAGTGAACTGGTGTTTAATTAAACTTATGACACACCCTCTGTGGATAGCAAGCAGTTGCCATTTTTCCCAAAGCTCTCAAAAGCAAAGAGGCTTGAGAAGACTTGTATCCTACTCCACCCAGAGGCAAATAGGAGATCTCTTTGTTGAGACAGTTGAACATCTTAAATGCATATTACAAACTGCTAACAAGCTGTTGAACTGTGATTTTGAGCCTAAATGAGAATTTAGTTGGATTTTCATTTACATCATACCACTACTAACCTGCAGGATTTGAAAAACTGAAGGAGAAGGGGCACCATGGCGTATTTTTCCTACTCCACTATTTCTGTTTTAATGAAACTGAAATAAAATGGTGTTTATAATGACTGTGACTGGATTCTAACATTTGCCTATATGCAAAACATCAGAGATTGCTTCTACCCTTGAACTAAGACAGCTTATTAACAATCTTCCCTTTTTAGAACTATGGACATTTAAAAACAGGACTCCTACAAATGCAAAAGTAACTCACTCTTTTTCTGTATGATGAAGTCACAGATCTCATGATACTGGGAAAGATTGCCAAATGCTCTGACAGCCTCCACAACTCCATCCATACTGTTGCTCATTAACAGCTTTAAAAGCACTATTGGTTTGCAGAGAAATAAAAAAAAACAATTAGTTGTATATCACAAACATGTGGTTGGCTTTTATCAATAAATACAAAACACAAACAGCAACAGCAATAGATGTAATAAATGGGAACAGTTATGTACCGCCTGGTTGCAGTGAAGGGGGTGAGCTGATGGTAGAACAAGAGCTAAATTGTGTAGGGCTTTGAAGATGAGACAAAGAGCTGCAATATGGGGCTTAACGCAAATGAACAAATGGGGAGTTATGAAGACAGCCTACACACAGTGGTAATAATGGGAGCCAGTTTTGCTATACAGTTTTGAGTGGGCTTATGTAAAAATCCAGGAAGACAAAGAAGAAAAAAAACGTTGTAATATAGAAGAGAATTGATTTAGATCCTGAACAGATGGTCTTATGGTTCGATGTCTCCTAAAACTCAAATTATTCTCTGATTTTAGCTCAGTGCTCCTATAACAAGTTCCTATTACAAGCTCCTATAACAAGCAAATACATTTTCTCTGAACAGGGCTACTTAATACTGCCCCTGGTCTGAAGCATTTACTTGCTTGCTGCTTTTCTGCTTAGCGGTTACACGTATGACTAGTGTATGTCTTCATATGTCTTCAGCAGACAGAACAAGACCTTCAGTACTTGCTAGGAACAGCTACTATCAGGTAGGTTTTTGATGCACAGCAAAGGAGCAGTGTCAGAGGAGTTACATTTATCAGTCTCCTATGAGCATGAAGTGAACCACTGAAACCAGTTTATAGTGTAAAGGACTCAAATCAGTTAACCTTTAACTCTTCTACCACAGAAAAGTGAGAGAAAGAAAAATCCTAGGCAAAGAAAAATCCTAGGAAAACATGTTGGCTTTGCTCCCATTATTTCCATCTTTGAATGTTGCAATACTGAACATGCCTTGAACTTGTCTTAAAGAGACATCTGAAATGGTTCCTTTTTTCTCTTTGGGATCCATTTGTATCAAGCAGCAAGTATTCTCAAAATGTCTCCTGGAGGAGGAAGCCTGCTGGTCTCCCATCAACAGGCTTTCTCTCTCCTCAGTCCAGGCAGAGAAAAGTGAGGGGGCTGTTTCCACAGGCTAACAATAAAAACAGGAGAGGGAGAGCACATGGGACAGGCAGAGAAGTCATTTGTTTCCACATTTCTCCAACTAGCAATGAGAGACAGTTGGCTTAGGGGTGATAAAATGACCCATGACAGAACAGCAGAATGTTACCTAAAGAGAATCTGATGGCTACCAGTCAGGGTACTAGGTTGACAGAATATTTTTTCTACTCTTCATTCTACCTGTTGTGCAAATTCCAGGCTCCATCTCTCCCCCATGTTTTGTCTATTTAGAGAGAAAGATATGCAAGACATAGACTCTACCTTCTGTACAACAGTAACATAAGTCCCAGAACTCAGATGCAGTTCTTACACATCACTAAAATATGACTATTGTCTACTACTGTCAGAGGGGAGAGAATCATACAACTCTTGTACTGCCAATGGATTTGTAAGCTAGAAATAGACATAAATCAGATTTTGCAGGTCTAGAAAGAAAAAAAACCCAACATTTTTACTATAGTTTGATAAGAAGTAAAAAGCAACATGATTATTTTGGCTCAGGCATATGGGTTTTGAACAAGCCTAGCAAAAATTGCTAAACAGAAAACAATATGGGAAATTCCTTTCAAGAAAAGACAGGGTTTTGTCAACAACTTAACTATTTTCAGACAAGTCATAGAACTATGTTCCAAAAGAATGAAAAATCATTATGGGAAGAGTTTAGCCCTATGAAGTTTATATTCATGCTATACGATACCACAAAACACTAGCAGTGTCTTTATTTCCTGTAGTGTCAAAATATTTTCACTTTCAAAAACCTATACATACAGTACTAATTTAAAAGTCCTTACTTTCAGCAATGTGTAGCTTTTTGTCTTGAACAGCAGAACTCTTCACTTTGTAGTAGGATAAATTGCTGATTGTTATTGCAGCACTGATGACCAACTCCTCACACTCATCAACTGACTTGTATTCTGGGAGTGAAAAAAAACCCAACAAACACGAACATACGCATATGCAGACACACAGAGATGAGTCTAACCTAACTGTCCATTATATCTCAGAAGCAAGCTAAATCATAGTTTACAGGGCCACTATTACAGACAACTGTTCTGTTTTGCAGTAACATGGCAGAAGCTAACGGGAACAGCTGATCCAAAAATGGCAATATAGAGTCACTCTTTCTTCATCTGCAGAAATCGTTGTGACTAAGGCAACATGGCTTAGAATCCACTTAGTTAAGACATTTTACAGATTCTATTTGCTATTTTAAGATGGAACTGAGGAGAATCCACATGCAGAAATAGGCCTGTATGATAGTCACAGACAAATACCAAGGACTATTATACTTAAGTGTCAGGTACCATGAAAAATTGGAGAAAAAAAAAATTAACAGTTTTTGCAAGATTCTTTCTCTCAGAGTTTCTAACAGAATGTTAACCAGTGTAAAGACTACATCAGCAAGTCTGAAAGTCATGTATACCAACTTATCTGAGGTTTCTGGCCTCAGAAACCAAGGGTGAAGAAAAAAGAAGGTTAAGTTCATAGGCAGAGAGGACATTTGGTAGTAAACCAATACAGTGCTCAAGAAGAGGGGAGGGTGGCAGAGAGAAACTCTGAGGCTCAAAAGCACTTACACAATGATTAACACAGTTCCAATGCAGAAAGCTTCTCCACGGATTAAGACAGAACAGACAAAATTGTAAGTCTGCCTTCTTTAACTCACCATGTCTGGTGGTTAAGACTTGTAAGCTAGCATATAATAAGGTTGATTGTCTTTACATAATATTTAATGCTCTCATCACATCCTAAAATACACTAAGTTATTTGTGATGTATCTTGTCACTGCTAAAGTATGGGGAGAAAAGGCTACACAGTCCTAGCCTGTAATTATATTTACAATGGGATCAGTAAGTGGTAAAGGAACTGCAGTCCTAAGCCTCCATTTGTGGGAAAAGGGCCATTTTCTTCTGCCTGAAAGAGATAAAAGTTGGAAATTTGAAAAAGAAGAAAAAATAAGAAGAGGCTGAAAGTTATGGGTACAGGGAACAAAAAGAATACTTAATCCAGAACAGTCACAAAACTTGCAAACCTAAAAACAAAATCCCATTACCAAACACGTTGATGTAGCACCTGCTAAGAACAGACTTCCCTTACATATGAACTCTGAGAGGTGTATTTAAAGTAAAATTTGTTTACTCCTCCTTAATGATCGTATCTGCAAATCTAATCACCAAATTGAACATTTCTACAACATCTTTCCCCAGAAACTGAAAAGTCAGTAGCAAAGCAGCAATGCCTCCACTGTCTCAAACAGGCTTTCTACATAAAACAGATTATGAATATCAGCAGATTGACTTTGTTATTTAGCAATGGGACCAATTTAGTTATGGATCAACTTGTGTGTTGATCCATAGTGAAAAGTGATCAAGAAGGTCAAGTAGAAAAATTCTAAACTCTTCTTATAGACTGAACAAAGGTAACAAACACCACATAGATTTTATTACCTAGTACTGTAACAAGCAATTCTACAACACGATGGGCAACTGCCAGAGCTGCTCCTATGCTGGGATGAACGGAGAGGTTGGCCAGCACTCTTATCAGTTTTATCAGAACATCTTCTGCTTCTGAAGGATGCTTTGGTTGTTTTTTTTCTTCCCTTCCTTTTTCTTGGTACCATTTCTGTGTATTCAAATCAAGTTCATGGTAGGTTTGGAACAATGATATCAAGGTGTTAATGCTTCCTTTTTCTTGAAAAAATTGCTCACGGGGCTGGTCATTCTTTGCTGTTAAATTACCAAGAACGAAGAGAATACGGATAACCAAATCCTGCAATAAAACAAACCGTATTACACAGAGAACATCAGAAGCTATTAGCTGCTTAAAAAGAAGATACTACTTAATTTGCTTTGCAATTCACTTAGCAACAGGTCCAGAACAACTGAGGGAATGCCAAATACAGCAACTAGAAAAAATTTTTCTGCTACTGTTTTTCATAAACTGATTTACAGAAGAAATCAAAAACATCTGACAGAACTAATACAGAACTGGGGTAGATACTAATGGGATATACTTAGTATAGGTCATCTATTTTTACCAAGCCCACAGTAATCCTAAAACATCTTAAACCAGCACTTTATATAACTAGAATAATAATACGGGCCAGACCTTATTAATCTTTCAAGTAAGCAAGTGTCAGTTGAGATGGCCAAAGACCATGACCTTCCCTTCTCTAGACCTGTTACCACTGTAGAGGTTAAACTACTTCCCCTTGATTTGTTAAATCCATGTCAGCTCTTACTCATTTCCTTGTTAAGTCTTACAGATAGCTGAATTATTTGTTCCAGATTTTTACCAGAAATGTAATCTAAATTGACTGGTTTGTTGGACCCCAATTTCTCCTCTTTCCTCTTTCAAAGACAGGAGCCCTACAAACTTGCAATCCTACACAACTTTACAAGAGTCCCAGAGACATTACCCTTTCTGTTCTTTTATAGCATCAAAGGGTAAGTTTCATAAGGCCTAGCTGGTTTGAAGACACTTAATTATGCTCCAGCTCATTTTCTAGTGATAAAAGAACTCAGGCTGAAGTAGAGATTAATCATTTGATCATACTTAACCCCTTCAGAAAAAGAAGCAAGAAAAGGCATTCCACACTTCACTATTCATAGTGGCATCTATCAATAACCACCTGAACACTGCAGCAATTATTTCCTTATCTTCTTCTCACAATTAATGTATCATACAAAGCTTTTGTGTTTCTATGTCCCTTTCAAGTTGCATCTCATTTTGTACTTTTTTTTTCTGATGATGATTTTATGTATTCTTGCTGCCCTTTTATTCTTACGATTGCTAAATGAGACCTATTTCTATTTTTGTACGCTATCTCGATCTAATGATTTAACCAAGCTGCTCTCTTAAAGCACTTTCTATCTCTGCCCTTCAGTGGAACACAGAATTACATCTCTTGTTGCTTCATTTGGGACATGAATACTGAGAAACAGTATTCAACAACATGCCCATCTTTTTCTTACCCACCTGTACAGAAGAAAAAAAATGAAATTTTAAAGTCTGAACTGACCTAAGTATAAACTTATCATAACATTTCCTCTGTCACTTGCATCAAAACCTACTCATTTCCCAAAAGAAAAGTCCATAGCTTTATTTTAACAGTATAGGTAAAGTAACAACATTTCTTCAAGTACAGCACAGCCATCTACTCTCAGCTGCTAATGCTGTACTTGCACTAACCTAGAATTTCACTAAACAATCCACATGCTGGTTTTCTTCAAATATAATTATACTGACAGATATTTCCCTGGCATTAACAACATAACTTAACCAGGCACAGCCTAACTTGTTGAAGTATAGATACTAATATTGAAGGAAAAAAGAGATGTGTCAGCAGTGAATCCTTCTTTCATACATGCCTTTATGAATAAGTTTCAGGTCTTGAGCCATTGCTACAAGGCATTGGCAACAACATCCTCTTAGGTGAGACAAGGAGGCACAAAAGCACAGAATGTAATCAGTTCTAAGTAACGTTAAGTTTGACAGCTTTGCAATGGCAAATAACAGAGATGCTTGAAGATAAACCGTTCTAGTTGACATAGTTTTGGGTCCTTAAGACATTAGTACAAAAAATGTAAGAAAAACAGGATAGAAAAACAGGACCTGGGGATGGGGATTATCTGGGACTAGCAGATGTCCAGGATGGGAGCAGTTAAACTAACTGATATGTAGAAGGACAGGATAATTGCTATGTCTGTAATGTTAATTAAGCTGGTGCTTCAAAGGCTGCCAGAAGTGATGAAGATTGTTGGAAGAAGTAAACGACCCTCAGAGACCACCACCGCATTTGTGTACGTGTGCGGGAAACTCTCTGGAAAATGATGCAATTCATACGTAGCCTCATGAATATGTATGTATGTATGCCCAGGGACTATATAAGGATGGCTTTTGTGGCAATATGGTGACACATGTTAGGAGGAGCTATCCACTGTGTCTGCTGGCGCTGCAATAAAGAATACCTGCTTGTCAGCTTGAAAACTTTGTTGGCGAGTGTGTTCCTGGAGTTTTCTCCAAATCACAGGGTCAAGAAGATGAATGCCATCCCTGAATATGAGAAGCAGGCAGTTGCCTAAGTAAGGAAAAGTTTCTCACTTTCCTTATTTAATATGATCATTCCACAGGATCCACTATTTTTTTTATTTTTTTTTAACTAGGAACCATATTTTTGCTAGCATCTCAATGTCATCAAGACAAATTTCTATGAACATTCTTACTGACTAACCACTAACAGCTTTCACCTTTGCTGGCACAACCCCCAGTTCACAAAGGATGTAAGAATTTGAAACAAACAACTGATGAATCAGAAGAGAGAACTGAAAAGAGCAGGCAGTCTAGTTTGACTCGTTTATATTGACTTTCTAATTTTGGTCAAAACAGTATCAGCCCAGCAACAGCTCTACCCAATCAGAAAACAGACAAACAGGTACTGTACAGCAATCAACTGATATTTTGAGAAGTGTGATCTCAACTGTGCTTTCCACCTACAGGCTAGCAAAACAAACTTACAAAGTACTTCTTTTTAGCTAAGCACATCCAATTTTAATAGCACATTACCAAAGCTTCATTATCTTGCAGTAAAAATTTAACTTGCAGAGTCAAAGAGAAACTTCTCCTGAGTAGTGTTATACTTAAGGTTTTGTATTATTTTTGGCTATATGGTTTTTTTAATGCTCATTAGCAAGCACTACAAGAGTAAGAAACACCAGCTTAGAATTGCTGTGTAAAGAAATACATGTAAAGATGAATGGCATTCTGAAACTGCTTGCAAGACTAAACCTGTACAAGGCCCATAGGCCTTTCTGTACATAATGAAAAAAATCAGTACAATAAATGAGATTATTATGCATCTCTAAATGTTTGGAATATTAACTGCATATGGAATTTCAGACATTCTTGCATACTTACAGACAAATGATATTTATCACATTAATTTATATAATTTGGAGGTTTTAACATGTAAGGCATTAAAGACAAATTAGATTAAAGATAGGAATTACACTCAGCCATTTCATCTTTTTATAAGGAGGCAGTCATGCGAGACATGCTGTCCAGAGCATGCACCCAACCTGACTGCAAGGTTATATATGAAACCACATAGTTTCACTTATACAAATCTGAAGAAACAATTCAAGAAAAGCTTGAGAAGGAGAACTGATTTTTTTCTTTGCTTCCAACCTGTGAAGCCACTGTGATATTTTGTTTTTAAAATGGTAATGGCACCATATATTTCATCAGCATTTAATTCCTATGTTTCTGACAACTGGAACACATACATTCGATCACTGAAATGAAAGACTTCTTTGCTTATCTACTTTAAAATCTGTTCCTTGCACTGCCTAAGTAGCTAAGGTACCCAATGTACTTGCTGAGTCACAGAACTTGACAGCAGTTTATATTGGCAATTGAAAGTGTGCCTGCCTTTCAGTGTAAAGCATGATGAAGAGAGATACAAATAATACAGGTTTGCTTCTCAGCAGGAAAGGAAAGCCAATTAGGTCAGTAATTTCTAACTAAAACAAAATAAATAAGAGAGGGGAGTCCATTCTAGAACTTGTGCAAGTTAGCCAAGTATCTGTTGTTAGCCTGGTTACTTGTTAGCCCGTTGTTAGTTGTTAGGGTGGCTGGACCCTCAAAAGGGGAGGAGTAGCATGAAAAAGAAAAATACTCAGACGCCAGCAACTGAGTTCCTATTGAATCTCCATCTCCAAATGAAATGTGCTTTCCATGTTACACAAACTTCAATGGAGGTAGCCAAAATTCAGTATGAACTGCTTCTCATTCAAACCTAATTTAGACTTCATTTTCAAATTTGTATTTCTGCTTTATTATGTACCTTGGAAAGAAAATTTGAGAGTTCTCTTTGCAGGATCTGATAGCCTGCTTACAGACAAAATAACAGGAGTTACGGCATCCTGGAGCTGATCTCTTACAAACACAGTTAGGACTCATCTTGAAGTGACAAACTGGCTGTGAAAATTCCTGGTCAAGTCCAGAAATAACAAAGGAGTCAAAATGAAACTCAGTTTCAAGAAGGAAAAAGGAGGGGTGGAGCAGGGCGTAGAATGCATTGGAAGTATCAAAAGCGAATGAAGTTCTTGACTGAGGGACCTGAAATGAGGAGCAGAGAGAAGCTTGTCCACAGTGATAGCAGGGAGTACTTTGCCAGTAAAGTACTCTCTCCCATGCAACTATGAATGAATTTGAGAAGAGGCCATTACAAGAATATAGTTATATCTTGGTGTATCACACACCACAATTAGGACCCTACCCTACAATTTCATACACCCCCAAAATATAATGTTTAGTTAAGACTTTTCAGAAAAGGGTTCAACTGCACTTAGTGATTTGTACCAATGAAGAACTCCATGCACTTACGTTTGTTTGAGGACATGTGGAGATGAAGAAAACAAAGCAAACTGTCACCAAAACAACACTTGAAGAAAAGCAATATACACTCTCTAAAAACACATTTCAGAAATCATGAATTGAAAAAGAAGCTGGAAACTGCTATCTCCCAATAGTAGTGCTCAAGTGATTACTGATCTCCCTCATTAAAATCATTATTCTCATTGCTAGTTTAAATTTGTACAGCTTCAGCCACTCTCTCTTTTTCCCTTTTTTCCTATAGAATGGTCTACTAACAGAAACGTCTTCCTTGTGCGTTCTACTAATAGACAACTTGTTAATGGTCTGACTTTTGTCACTGATAAATTAATTTGCTCAAACCTTGAGGTCTTTTTAACACATGATTATTTTAA